GTTTTCAGGTTACTTTCCCATCATATAATAATTCTTAAGGATGGAATGCACCTATGTACTTGTTTTATATTAATCAGTAAAGGAATCGTCTGCCGCCACTTTATAAAAGTTTTAATGAAATCAAATGTTGCTAGGTTCCACATTTTTTTGATTTCAAACTGTTGGTATAAAAATAGTAAAAATAATGAATTGAAGGATCTCATTTCTTTGGTTCTGTCTATTAAATTGTGCAATTCTAGTCAGTCTTTAGCATCTGATAGCACTCATCATACAATTGATTTTTGATATTTATCTTGCTTTGTGTTGATAATATATTTACTTCTGCTCTGAAAAAATCTGTAAATAAAAAAATGCGATGGTCTAGAGAGTATAGAATAACAAAAAAAGCATTAAGCTTAATGATACAGCTTAATTGTGATGATGAATTTTTTAGTATGATGGATGATTTTATTTTATCAAAAACACGTGAGTTATAGCATTTAGAAAAAAACCGTTTAGAAGAGAATAATAATGATAATAATAGAGTTGAATCAGAACCTATTATTGAACCTCAGCCTGTTATTACCAATCCGTTTGTAACAAAATACTATGAATGACCACCTAAGAGGCTTAAGGGTGTGTTGGAAAACAATACAAACACTTATCATAATTTGCACGATTCAAACAACCGAATTCCAGTCGAAAATAACATACAAGAAAGAAAAAAAATAAATGTGCCAACTATGGGAATTATGGATATAATGTTCGAACTTGTGATGTAGATTAAATGCTGTTAATTACTGTAGATTATTTGAGGTTATGTATATATTATATAGCTTGAAAATATTTTGCTACTAATTTGTTTGCTGCTAATGTATTATTGAATCGAATTATATTTTGCTTGTTTGCTTTTTTGTGATGCAATTGCCTTATAATTTGTTTGTTTATTGCTACTAATTGTTTTGTTTTCAATGTGATTTATGATAAAACTTCATTAATTTGGGTAGTGCTTTATATTATCTAATTAATGTTCATTGTGTCTATGTGCATATGGCGGTAAATAATCAATAATTGAAAGTTTGTGATATTAAAGAAGCTATTCAATTACATTTTGGTTAAGCATTGTTTTTCTATTTCATATGTTAATGCAATATGGTATAAGCACTTTATAAATGATCACTAACTAATATTTAACTTTTAGGTCAGAATATCATAAAGCTTTATTCTTAGATTGATTCCTTATATCAGTATTGGCAATTTTATCAGCCAAACTAAATTTCTTGGCCTTTTCAGCCAAAAAATTGGCAAATTCAGCCAAAAAATATATGAATTGGCTATTTTTGATCAGCCAAAAATATGTTAGGCCAATAAAATTCAACACTGCTTATATGTAGTTAATACCAATTATCTAATTATTTCAACAACTAAAAATTTTTGTTGAGTTGCAAACCAAATTTCAAGATTCAATGTAATACAACTAAAGAATATTCAATAAGGTTTGCATTAGAGTCAGGTATGAATAGGTTATATTAATATTTGTTAAATGTGTAGTATAGTGATCTTGATTTATTTACAGAAGTATTTATGTAAATTTACATAGTATTAATATCTCGCATAAAACTTTTTCATAGCACATATATTGTAGATTTAGGACTTTCTTTATCATCTAATATATAGTGCTAGAAACAAAGAGTCTGATAGAATTTATTGAATTTTACTGAATATATCTAGAAATTTTCAATAGAAAGAAGGTATACAATGTTGTCAGCTATTTATTTATTTGTGTGAAGTTTTATATTGAAATTGCTATGATGTTATTACTGGTTGTAGTTTGAAATTGTGAGATAGAATTTGAAATATGTCTGTATATAGTATGATATGGTTTAAAATGTTTAAATTAAGCATGTATGTACATACGTATGTATATACATAAGTAGTTATAATTTGAATAGTACGTATAATCGTCTTTTACAAAGTCATATCTGACAAATTTTTATAGTTACATATATACCAAATATATATCTGGTATGTATGTCGATATCTGAAAAATTTTATATAACTACGTATACGATTTATCTTCTCCAGTATTGTCACAAAAAGTTTCAAACATATGACAGTAACAAAAATTAAAATTGGTAAGGTTAGGATTAGTGTTTATAATATGATTAAGTGTTTGCAGATATATTAGTAAAATTGCTCAAGGAATTTTTTTGTTAGTGCACTAAAAAAGGCTTTTTATACAGATTTTTAAGTTATAAGCGATTTTTTGCAAACGAACGTTTGTTTTTAATTTTCCTGATCGCTACAAAAAAATCACGTAACTGCAACTTTTTGATGGCGGTATTGGATAGGATATCCAGAATTATACGATGTGATGCAGTAATTGACTATTTTTTCACATCACATATGTTTCGCATAATTAAGCAATAGTATAATTCTATAAATTCATATAATTTATTTAATTTTAGTTTGCATTCATCACATAATTGACCTTAGTTAAATCATATAATTACTCTATTGTATCACATAATCCTGGACATCTTAATACTAGTAGTTATGCAATTTAATTATATTATGTGATTGTTTTATTATTTAAAGTATAATATAAAGTAATATAATTAGTTAGTGTAACAAAAACATGCATATTTATTTATATATTATATATAGGTGATAATCACCTGTGGTGTAAATTAGAAATTTTCTTCTAAATTTTATATTAAAATTAGATATAATTTTTTTAAAATTTAAAGTAATATAATTTAAGATAAACTAATTGTATAACCAAGACTTTTTATAATTGAAATTAGATAGTAAATTTTTATAACTTTAATTAAGAATTTAAAGAAATTTAATTAATAAAAAATTTTTTAAATTCTAGCTAAACTTGCATAGCTTACTATGAAGAGTAATAAATTGCAATAATTTTTAAAATATACTTATAATACAAGTAATAATTATTACAATATAACAAATCAAAATTTTTTAATTATAATAAGCTATAGATTTGTTTTATATAATTAAATATTTAATTTACAAATTTATTAATATATTATAGTTATAATTAAGTTTAAAGATGTACTAAAACTAGTATACTGAAATTTGACAAAACATACTTGCTATAAAAAAACTTATATTTTAATAATTTTATTATTAATATAAAAAAAAATTATACCAAATAATTTTTGAATTTCTATTAGATTTTTATATACAAAAAAAATTAAGCTATATATTTTTTTTGATTTTTTATAAATTTTTAAAAATGTACTAGATTTAGTATAAAACCCTAAATCCAATCTATTAATTTTATATAGCATAATAATATATGCATTAAAATTTTAATTAATACAACATATTAGTTATACAATATATTATATCTAAATTTTTTATATATAAAATTATAATAAAAATGTATAAAATTACTTATAAACTTTAAAATCTGATGGTTTTTTTCTTATATTAACTTTAAATTAAATTTTATAAATAAATACATCAAAAAAATAAAATAAAATGTGTTTTAAGCCAAACTAAAATTTGAAATTTTAATATGATTTGAAAATATAACTTTGTTAAAAGAAAAAATTTAATAGTTTTAAAATAATAATTATATATAACTATACTCTGAACAATTTTCAATTAGAGAATAAAAAAGTTATCTTAGTAAAAAAAGTTTTCTATGAGAACTATAAGCCAAATTTTTAAAAATGTTTATTTAGAGAGGGTATACATTTATAGAGATAATTTTACTATGTTTTTATATATTTGGGACTATGCCAGAATGTCTATTTAGGGAGAATTTATATATAGGTGCAATTATAGAGGGTGCAATTATGAAAGTTCAACTATATTTAGATAACTTGTTCTGTCTTTTTAAGCAAATTTGTTCAGCACATAATTCTATATACTTTGTATCTTACTGATTTTGTTTTTTAAATGTTTGCTAAGTAAAAGATTAGATCAAAAGTTATATGAAAATTATTTTTAAAAATTTTTTTAAAAAAATTTTTTGTATAATTTTGATCCAATCTTTCACGTAGTAAAAAGTTTGAAAAACAAAATTGACAAAACACAAAGTATATAAAATTATATGCTAAACAAAATTTACTTAAAAGGTTATCTAAGTAGAAAAAAGTTTTATATAGAAAAACTAAAAATTTTGATATTAGTATTTAGTAAACTTTTTTACTAAAATAACTTTTTATTTTCTAATTAAAAATTGTTTAAAATATAATTTTATATATAATTATTACTTTAAACCTGTTAAATTTTTTCTTTTGACTGAGTTATATTTTTAAATTATATCAAAATTGCAAAATTTTAGTTCAGCTTAAAACACATTTTATTATTATTTTTTTTAATGTATTATTTATAAAATTTAATTTAAAGTTAATATATAAGAGAAGAAACTTTATAGCTTTAAAGTTTATATATAATTTTATATATGGTTTGTTTTATATAAAAAAGTATAATTGTAAAATTTTAATAGTGTTATGTGATTATATATAAAGTTTTTAAATAAATAAATTGCAAATAATTTTTTTAAAAATTATGTTTATAAAGATAATATAATTATATAGAAGGTGATTGTAGAAAAAGATAATTATTTATAGTTAGCTATTAATAGAAATTAAGCAGATCTATATTTACAAAAAATTTAATATTCTAAATTTTACAACTTACTATATATCTTGATAAATTTAAAGCTATCCAATACTTTAATAATCAAATAAAAGCTTAGATTATAAGCTTTCTTTTAAATATTAAATTATTAATATAGCTTTAAATTTCATCAAGATATGTATAAGCTATGAAAGTTGAGATATTAATTTTTTCATTTAAACTTTATTAATAAATATCTATATGATAAAGTTAACTTAAAAACATTATTTTATTTTTTTTAATTTTTATATATATTTTAGGCAAAAAGATAATAAAAACCTATTCCCATAGCAATTCTACATATAGCACCAATTATATTTAGGTTCAAAAATTTTCTTTTATATTTTTTTATTATAAAAGTTATAAAATTAGTAAAAAAAATTTTATTAGACAATAATAAGCAATATATTATATAGTTACATACTAAATTTTGATTAGCTATTCATATAGGGTTGTTATGGTGACCCATCACTATAAACTAACACTTTTTATTATTTTATAATTTATTTTATTCCTTTATTTTTATATATATATTTTTTCTTTTATATTATATTTATTTTATCTTTTATATTTAATTTTTATTCTTTTTTTATATTATATTTATTTTTTATTCTTATTTATTTAATTTTTTTGTATTATTATTATTGTACAGTACAGAAATCCTTAAATCAATATATAAAATTAAAAATTTTTAAAATTATATAAAAAAATAAAAAAATTATATATAAATAAAAAAAACTTTTCATAGAAATATACAACAAATTAAGAGAACAAAACTATAAAGTTTGTTTTTGAATATAACAAAATTTGATAATATTATTTTCTTTTAAGTTACTAGTAAAATAAAATTTGGCCACATATATATAAAAACATAATAAAATTTAAAAAATATAATACAAATTTAAAAAACATAATAAAAATTTAAAAAATTAGCCAATCAAATTTCAGTATTTTGGCTTAAATTTGGCCACTTTTAAAAAAGATTTTGGTTTATGAGTTCCTGCACTGTATTTTCACAAAATAATATGCAGGACATTATTTTGAAATTTGGTCTGAATTAAACCTAATTTAGGCAAAAATATGAAATAACACCTCTGTGTATTATTTCATGAAAATATGATATTAT